GAAATTGCCTTCATTGTCCCTTTAACGCACTACGGTGAATATGTTCGGTTTGAAATAACTCTGCATTGTCCCGAATGTTTTCATTTGAAATGTTGAACTATACTAGCGGTATTTGCTCAGCGTATGACACTTCTCAAGGCAAATGAATGTGTGTAGTGAGTAAAACCCAGCGCAAGCCAGGGTTTCGATGCTAGGTTTTACATTAGAAAACATTTTCGTGTCTTTCCATTTTTAACTTTCCTGTCACTGCAGACTGCACAGTCTGTAAAACGCGGATGCAGTAAAAACTGCCATCTTGAGCACCCAAAAGCTTGCTCAAAATGCCCGTCCACGCACCAGCAAAACAAAGAAGAAAAAGATGCCTTGCCTTTCACAGCATTTGTTGGAGGGGAAAAAAAAATTGAGTATGCATAGTTTCCGTACCCATTAAGAGATGGCACAAGGTGAAATTGTTGGGAGGCACCCGACAGCAAAGGAGAAATGGGCCTGTTGGGGGACACTTGTCCAGGACGGGAGGATTCATTCGTTGGGAGGTCTGGCCCCAAAGGGTTAATGGCTGTTGCTTTCATTTTCTGCTTCACCTCGATGAACAAACCTTTTAGAGCTCGCTTGCACAGGCTACATCTAAAGGATATAATAGTAGGAAAGGTTCTGTAAAAGGAAAGAGGTGTTTTAATTTTAGGTGAGGTAATTTGTTGCATGGATGTCTAGATGGCGGAGTAGTTCGTCTCCCCCAAGGAGCGTGAGGCCTCTGTCGAGAAATTTCGCCAGTGCAGTGCAACCGCTAGTCCAGGGTGAAAACGTGCATCACGCAGTGGCGCTACACAAACACACGATGGTGCGATGTCCATCCAGATCAAAATGGGCAGAGACTTGAGTGCAGCATCTCCGAGTTTTGCAGTGCGGGCTTTCACTGTACGTCCTTCGAGCTGCAAGGTACTGACCCTCGACCATCAGAACTGCCTGTTACTTTTTTGTTGAGAAATGTTCTTTTGCTAAGCTGTGTGTGTATGGATTGCATACACATTTGTGTTGTGAACTGTGTTACCACGTGTTGAGACCCTCGACCTTCACCCTAATCTCAGCGAAGAACTGTAGGTGAACTTTACAAATAAGAATAATTATAAACTTCAAGTCAGAATCCATTACCCAGCAAAAACAAAAAATATCCTACTCATTCGACAGTTGCATTAAAAGTAAGCCTATTATGTGGTAGGACGTTTGATGTTGTTTGTTCTCTTCAGTACTTTTTAAGGTATATCATAATTTATTTTCATTGAGAACCGGAAAGAGATAGGTATTACAAAAAAGAGTGGGCATGCATGTAAATAAATAAATAAATAAATATAAAACAATGAACTCCGTAGTAAATTATGGTGGTGATATGAGCAAATTGGCACATTCTTCAAAAAATGAAATGCAGTGCGCAAACGATAAACGACACTACTTAGAGAGGACAAGGGTAGTAGCTGCTGCAAATATATTAGTGTTATTTATTGAAACAATGCAGTGATGTAGTGAATTCCACTCTTTTACTGCTCACGGTAGTGTAAACATTTGATGGGAGCCTGTGAATGAAGAAATTTCACATCATTTAAGAAAAAGGTCAAGACGGGGGAAAATACTGTGAAGCCGGGATCCTCCGAGGTGGTTGGCTGGCATAATCCTGATATGCTAGTATGTGGTCAGAGTAAGTAAAACAATGTGATCTATTTTGAACGGCCTCTAGGGTGTTATTTAAATATGATTACCATAAAGACCATATGGGGAAAGCGTATTCTATCTTTGGTCTTCCCAATGTGTAGTGTAGGCTGACGTATTATTGAAGGTGTCGCTAGTCTCGGGTAACGGTGTGAAAATCCGAGAGTATGGTTAGCATCAGCAGCGACACGTTATATGAGTAGTCCATGATAGATCATACATAGGAAACAAAGCATCACTGGGGTGCTAGCAATTTATATGGAAATGATTTAGTAAGTGATTGGGCATGAAAACAAAAGGATTTTAGATTTATTCGAATTTAGAGCCATTTGCCATTTTTGGTGCCACTGAGTTATTAATGTGAGATCATTCTGTAAAGTTAGTTGATCATTGTGGGAATGAATAGGTTTGTAATCTACAGTATTATTAATGCAATCGTCAGCAAAAAACCACACGGATGAAGAGATAGTAAGATTAGTGATGGACCAAATCTGCCGAACTTCAGATTCAGCAAAGTTCAGTGCACGCCGAACTTTTGAAGGCAAGTGCGGTAAAGATTCGCCAAAACTTTGCCGAACGTCTGCGCCCGCATATGATTCTCTTCATTAATTTGTCTCAAGGACAGAAGATTAATCAGGAATTGATGCGGTCCACTGCGCAAATGACCATTGATGTGGTACATTCTGGGTAACGTGATTTTCATTCGACCTTTTCAACAATGCAACAAGGTAGCTGCGACATTGACTGACAAGTACTTTAAAGCATTCCTAAAACTGAACATGAAACTATCATGCTCAATGTTTCGCATTGCGCATTCCTAAGGCTCTATTATATCCTGACGTTGAGTGCAACAAACATAGCGTGGCACAGATAGTGGTCATTTGGTTGGCCGGCGAGCAGGAACTCATTACTGCGACCAATCCGAATCTGTGTGTGCTGCATTACGCCATGTTTGCTATGCTCGACGTCGGAGTATAACAGATCTTCCCATCTTCCTAAATGTCTGCATGTGTCCTAACATCAGACACTGGCATTTTAAAAGTTAAAAATGAGACGTTGTGAATATGGGACGCACACTTTTATACAAAGCTGGCGTCAAGTAACTGAAATCGAAACATGCATATTTACAATATTGTTGTTATCTATTCTGGTGAAGGCTCAGCAGCCGGTGCATTCTTTTTCACACACAAAACGGTGACTCGCAGAGAACGTAAGAACAGTGTTACTGCCTTCATTTTAACAATGTACACACTTGCAGACTTGCGCTGATGAGGCCTCAAAACCAAAATTTGCATATTGTGAATGCGCCCGCTGCTACCCAAACTCGTTATCACACCACTTCTGTGAAAAGTCACTTTAAAATTGCCAGTAAACACACAAAAAGGGCACCGATACAATTATATTGTAAAATATCACGTTATTTAGTAATAACTGTGTCAATATTCATATTCATTTATGCAAAAATATTAATTTTTGCATAAAATGTTTTATGCAAAAAAAATTTATTTTTTTTTTGCATGAAAGACTAAATATTTTTGTTAAGTCTGACAACAATGTAATTTTGCCGAAACTTTAGAAAAGTTTGGCATCTCAATCTTCCGCAAAACTTTGGCCCATCCCTAGCTATTATGAAGGTCTTCATGTGTATTAGAAATTAAAGAAGGTCAAGTACCTTTCCTTCAGGGACTCCAAATGTTACCGTACAGGTTGGAGAGTTCACGTGCATGGAAGAATGCTGGGTGTCATTAATCAGGAATTCAGAGATCCAATTGACAACACAGGCGTGAATATTAAAACTTCTAAGTTTTAATAAAGGTATTGATGAGGGACTTTACGTCAAATTGACTTGGAAAATAAAATGAGAATGGTGTCAATATTGTACTGAAACCTGAACAAATGTCGGTGAGCTGGTGAGAAAAATAGGGCAGTAGTTACTAATTAGCTGGTGGTCAGCCGTCTTCTGATTGGGGATTATGTTAACAATTTTCCAATCACATGGAATTTCGGAAAGCCTGAGTGACTGCGAGATATGTTAAAGGGAACAGTGATGTTTTTAGTGTTTATTAATATTTTCAAAGTACTTTGGTCCTCCCTGAACTAGAAGATGCATTCAGTTGATTGACTGCTTTCGGTACACTGTAGTGGTCAATTATGATTGAATTGATATCAGGGTGAGAGTGATATGAACTCTAATAAAATTTGTCACATTGAAAGATTGATTTGGTGCTACAGATGCAAATGCAGACATGCAGAGGTAATTTAGGGTACTTAAAGTGTCTATAGCCACAAGGTTTATAGTTGGCTATGAGAGAGATTTACTGATCTGCTTCCAAAGGTATATCGATGTTTGTGCAATATTCAGCCGTCATATAAAGTCATTCTTCTATGATTCTTTAAGGACCTGGAAGGCAAAGATGTAACCTATTTATTTTTCATTAGTAGTCGCACCATTAAGCACCTACTGTCTTCCCCCCTCGACAGCTTTGTAGCACGAGGCTACTCTAAGCAGGTTTGCATTTAGGGTCCATGCCATCTGCTTGCTGGAGTTGTGGGTATAGAGTGCAGTAACCTAGGGCCTTATTGCGGTTCAAAGCAAAAAAAGTCTTTAGCGAGCACGATTAAAAAAAAATCCACATCAGATTTATTGTAGAAAACCTCGGACAGTGGCAAGTTAATCTGCCTTATAATGGCGTCTCACGACTGTTGGGGATGGATGCTTTGGTCATTGCAGTACGACTGCTAACTTGTGTGGCCTTCGTGTGCGTCACGGGGTACTGATAACAAGACTGCAAGATTAGTGCAATGTTCATAAAAATCGAAATAAGTGGGATCAAAGAATGGACCCAGGAAGGATCTTTGGATTCTGCAGCTCGAGCTCGCCCCACGTGCTCCGAGCTGGGGTGCACTTGGGGCACCGCAGGATGTTTGCAGGGTCTTTACTAACTACACAAGTTTTTTTCACACCTACCTTTGTGGGAGACGTGGCCAGCGGCTCCGCTTTTCACAACCTTTTAATCTCGTCCTTTTTTAATTAGATTGTCCTTGACTTTAGGGGACCATTTCTAGTAAAATATATAAAATAGCGCAACAGAAACAAGGACAAGAAGTAAACAGGACAGGCGCTTCTATTTCTTCCTTTGAGAGGGAACGAGTCGCCTTTCTTACACTTTATCTTTTGTCTCTGTAAAAGAAATGGTAACGAATGACAGTGGATAAAAAAATTATTGTCTTTCTGACCATTAAACTACCATTGGTGTGGATTGTGGCCGCAGTTGACGTGTGTCGTGGGCCCCTCGCAGCCGTGCAGGATGCTGGAGATGGGCCAGATGGCGTTCACGCACCGCCGCCCTGAGGTCACCTCGGTGGTGGATGGGCCCACAAACTCCCACTTGAAGATGGCCGCTCCCGCAGTCGCTACGGCCAGTGACGCAGCACCCAGCTCCCTCGACCTGACGCAAGAAGAGCACCGGCGCCGTACCTTTGACAGCTGGCCCCAGGTCAGTGTTGCTAACTTATGGGGGTCCTGGATCGAAGACCTTCGACAGGGTTCCCCCGCTGGTCCACTGAAATCCTTGAAAGTGTGTCTATAGGAAAGCGCCAATTGCAAATCATATTTTTTTATTGTCCCTAAAATAGCCCGTGATTTCAGTCCTAGTACAGAAATATAATGCTCTACGCTTCAAAATCGTTGATCCAAGCCTTGAAGATTATCATTGTTTTATTTTTAATCTTTTTGTCAGTGTTTCACTAAATAATTTCGAACTACAGTTTTAGAGGAACCGGCATGGACGCCCTGAACCTGCTTCCTTAATCGATGCTCCTATTGAAACTTGAACAGAAAAAGGTCAACTCTGCCGGAGACCGCCGTAAAATTCCGAATTAATGCCCAGCCACGGTGAAGAGATTTATGGGGAAAAGTATCGGGTGGACAGGCATTTCGGGATGAGATAACAGTTTCGTTAAGAAGTGAGCGATGAACGCGCGGGCGCCTAGAAACTCGTACGAAGTGGGAACCAACGTCCGGGACGTGGTTCCCGCGAGATCGGTTCCCACTTTGTGCTCCAGAGCGCTGCTTCCTGACCTTAAAGAAGTCGTGCAACCATATCGGGTTGGAATGTTCCTCACTTTACGCAAGCTTACGAGCACTAGTGGATCCAAGTATACACACACGCAACGCCGCTGACCAAGAAGCTTTTTTGTTGCGGCATAATCTCGAGGATAAATACAGACTCAATGTCCATCGCAAAGCCTGATGGTGTAGTCGTTGGGATCGTAGTGGAGGCGTAGTCATGGGTAGCACCTGTGGTGACAATATTGGAGTGCGGCTCGTAGGTTGGACATCAGCACTGCGTGGGCACTCAACTTGGGCTCGTGACAATCGATGCCTCAACAGGCCTCCGGGTAGCAGCTTGTGTCCAGTCGGCAGAGGTCGGCATTTTAGGTCGCCCTCACTCACCCTCACCCTCACAGCCCCACTCACCTAAGCCCCTCACTCACCCTCACCCTCACAGCTACACTCACCTTCAGCCCCTCACTCACCCTCACAGTCACACTCACCCTCACTGAACCTCACGGCCCTCACGCCCTCACCGCCCTCACGGCCCTCACAGCCCTCACTCACTCATGGCCCTCACGCCACTCACCGCCGTCACGCCACTCACCGCCGTCACGCCACTCACCGCCGTCACGCCACTCACCGCCCTCACGGCCCTCACCGCCCTCACGGCCCTCACCGCCCTCACGACCCTCACGCACTCATAGCCCTCACAGCCCTCACCGCCCTCACGGCCCTCACGCCACTCACCGCCTTCACGCCACTCACCGCCTTCACGCCACTCACCGCCCTCACGCCACTCACCGCCCTCAGGCGCCTCACCGCCCTTGCGGCCCTCACACGTACCCCTCACGCCTCACGCCACTCACCGCCCTCACGCCACTCATGCCAGCTTCAGATGGGGCAATTTCGCCCATTAACTTTACGTCGCAACACCAGCAACACGGGCCGCCCACGATCACACGCAGCAACCAATTGCTGCAATTTGCCATCGTCATCATAAAATGTTATTTTTCTTGCATTATTTAGACGCAATTACGTGTTATAAACATGTTTTTATGCATTTAAATCTCGTTAAGAATACTAATGCACCTTTCTGAAACAGTTTATTTCCAAAAAAACGATCGATTTCAAACCAGAACCAAGTCTTTCGGTGTCATCATCACCGGCACGTGGTATCACGTGAAAATTTTGCGTCCCTGATTGGATGCAGCCGCTTCAAACGCATTCGAATTGCTCCGAGTTGCTTGCTTATTTCGAGCCGGACCCGATCTCAGCAATTCGTGTCGATCTAGGGAAAGCTACAGAACAACCCGCCATTACCACCAAAATTGCTGAGAAAGATGCTCGATCTGAAGGGGGCCTCACGCACTCACCGCCCTCACGCGCTCATGGCCCTCACACCACCTCATGTACTCACCACCCTCACGGCCCTCACGCCTCTCATGCCACTCACTGCCCTCACGCACTCATGGCCCTCACACCCCTCACGCACTCACCGCCCTCACACCACTCACGCACTCATGGCCCTCACGCCACTCACCGCCCTCACGCCCCTCACGCACTCATGGCCCTCATACCCCTCACCGCCCTCACCGCCCTCATGGCCCTCACCGCCCTCACCGCCCTCACGGCTATCACCGCCCTCACAGCCCTCACGGCCCTCACTCACCCTCACACTCACGAATTTTCCTGGTTCAGAAACTCACTCACCCTCACCTCACCTGTGAAGATGAGGGTGAGTGAGGGTGAGTGAGGGCCCTCATGAGTGAGGTTTGCCGAGGTATGCCAGTCGGTGCGGTTGTGGTGTCTTGGCTTCTGTTGAGGCGTCGTGATGCACATACTCCAAAGCCGGATCGCCACCCATTAACAAACACTTTTATTAATCGACCTCATTGCCGTCCCCGTAACCCAGCTCCATTCTTTTCTCCTTTTTCCGCCCCCGTCCTAGGCCTGGCCTTACAGGTCCATTTTTTTGAGGCCAGGTGGTGCTAGCTGTGGGCCGGCAAATGATCGGACGACACTACAGCGGTGATGGGAGTAGCCAAACCCCGACAATGTCTGAGATGCGGCGCATGCCCTGTGCTTTGAGAACTTCTGTGCGTGACTATGATGAACATTGGCGGCATGCGATCAGCACCTGATATTGTGGCCACTTGTTCTGGCTGCGAGTTTAGGGAGCTAACTGTGCGTATTTCTTTTTAATTTTTTGTGACTGTTGTTGTGTAAAGAGAGGAACAAGTCATATTTTGCAGGTTATGCGATGCATGCAGAAAAGGCATGCAGAAAATAATTTTCTATCTGCAACAGTCGTTACCCCTTTTTTAGGGTGGCCTTTGCAGCAGTTTATACTCGCATTGGCGGTTCGCATGCATGTCAGCGGTCGCTAACAATGGCAGAAGAAAAACACCAGTGCGTGCATGAATGAGCACATGGCTTGGGCAGCGGCGGCGGCGATGAAAAACATGGAGGCCATGCACATCTGTTGCTGCATTCTTTTTGTTTCCATATGATTTTACCTTTAGCAACTGCTGGCACTCACCGCCGAGAGCAGTGGTGAAAGAGATGAGGCTTGAGCACAAAGAAGACACGATGGTAACCGTCTCTTCTAAGGGTTGTGTCGCAGTAGTTTAAAGCATGCTTAACCCCATTGGAGCCGTCGCGGTCCTGTTTTTCCCGTAATCCTGAAACTCCAGCCCATGCTATTTCAGCCAGTAGCATAATGGCTGCAGTGAGTCTAGTTGGACGGTGCATGCACTTTATAGGGTGGGCGATATTTCCGTAGCTCTCCGTTGCTGCTATTCAGCCAAAGAAATGGGACAGGTGTCTGTCCACTTCGGAATCTTACAGTAAGTACTTAATAGGTCCAGTTTCTTCTCGTATCTGTTAGATTCTGTCAAATAAAGCGTGAAACAATTTGGAAACTTCTCACTTTGTGTGAATTCTGAACCCCGGAGCTTTACTTAATTGCTTTAAAACTTTTGTTTCCTCCTTTGGAGTGGTTTTGTAGTGCAAACATTTTTAACTTTCCTTCCCGACTTTTGGAGTTGCTCGAGGAGTTGTAGATTTAATCTGTGCGAGGTACTATTTCCTTCTTATTTTTGTTCACAGAGGGCACTCTTACGTTCGACTGGGTGGTATACTGAGGCAGTGGAGCATTGAAATAAAGTTTTGTTCTTACAAATGGCAAAGAAAAGAAACAATAAAAGCTGCTCAGAAGTTGTTCAGAGCAAAAATCACAACGCTTAACGTTCTAGTTCCTGTTTTTAGAAATAATCCATCTCTATCCCGTTAATGAGTTGCTCCCACGGCGTCTAGTCCCTGGACGAATCACTCGGCGGGCCTCGAGTCTTGGTTGCCTCGGAATCAACATGCGATTCCTTGTTGTTCATTGTTTGGTGCTCGAAGTTTGGACGGCGGCCATGTGGAGTGATGCCAGATGCCGGTTCCCGTTCCTCGGAGCGTAGCCGCGTGCTCCAGCCGATGTCGAACGATCCTGCTTTCTCCTTTTTCTCGAACACAATCTCTTCCTTTTCCTTCTTCTTGGACTGCACGAAAGTCCATCTCGTTTTCCTTCTCTTCTTCCTTCACAACGATGACAGTCTCGTATAATTTCGATCTAGTCGGTGCTCCAAGCTCTTTTTCTGTTTCATGATCCCACCGCTAGCCCATGCTGGTTTTTGCTGCACACTGGGGATCGATGGTAAGTCTCTTTTCCTCTCGTCCCGTCTTTTCCTCTGGGTGGCATCGAAGAGAATTAATTGTGCATCCCCCACAAAAGACGCGGCCTGTTCCATTGGCGACAACCTGTCGTGCTCCTACGAATCTTCGGAGAACTGGGTCTCCTACGTGGGTCCAGGTTGTTCAAAGTAATGCATTTTTTTGCGTTTGGCCATTGGCGACGGGCCAATCAAAGGGCAGCATAGAGACCATGCTGGGAACGCGCCATGATAGGTAGCCAAGTGCACGTCGTTATTGGTTGAGGTCGTGGAGAAACAAAAGCGTGTGGGCGCATCTGGGGGGCAAACAAATGCACAAAGTGCACAAAGAGCAGACGAACTTGCATGCCTATCGGCCATAGTTGTCGGTATTATCGGTGCTCTAAAACTCCTCGTCTACGAAGTCTCTTTAGGGTCCGATCCGAAACCTTTTCGGCCAGGAGCTCTCACGTGAGCGGTAGACCTGTTCAGCGTGCCTTAGCCTCGCTCACTTACCCCCGTGTCTTTTGCTGTACATAAAAAAACTCTGTTAGTTGTGGCCTGCTACTTCAATGTGACCTCTCTCGAAGTGTGTACAAGATGCTCCCAAACGCCACACGGAATGTTTTGAGAAGGAGCACGAGTCCCTGAAGGACGCAAAGAGGAGACGGGTAAATGAAGCACATGAGTATGGGTGGACGAAGCTTGTGGAAGAGAAGTCTCCTCTGCTTGGCAGGGTGTCTTC